CTGGGAGGGGATGGATGGGATATTGGAGGTACTCAGAGATGTTGGTGGGATACTGGAAGGTACTGGGAGGGGTTGGACAGGATACTGGGGGTACTGAGAGGTGATACTGGGATACTGGGAAGGTGGGAAAGACTGGCTGGAATACTGGGGGTAGTCGGAGATGTTGATGGGATACTGGGGGGATACTGGGAGGGGATGGATGAGATACTGGGGGTACTGAGAAGGGATACTGGGATACTGGTGGTTCTGGGAGAGGTTGATGGGATACTGGAAGGTACTGGGAGCAGTTGGATGGGATACTGTAAGGGGATGAGTGGGATACTGAGGGGGTGGTAGGAGGTGATGGATGGGATACTGGGGCAGGCTGAGTGGGATGCTAAGGGGGGGTCTAGGAAGGGATGAGTGGGATACTGGGGAGTAGTGGGAGAGTATGGATGGGATACTGGGGAGGACTGGGGGTACTGGGAAGGGATGAATGGGATACTGGGGGTACTGGGAGAAGTTGGGTGGGACACTGGGAGGGGATGTCTGAGATACTGGGGAATAGTGGGAGGGACTGGGTGGGATACTGGGGGAGTACTAGGAGGGGAAGAATGGGATACTGGGGGTACTGGGAGGGGATGGGTGGCATCCTGGGGAGAAGTGGGAGGAGTTGGATTGGATACTGGAAGGTATGAGAGAGGCTGAAGGGGATGCTGGGGGTACTGGGAGGGGAAGAATGGGATACTGGGGGTACTGGGAGGGGATGGGTAGGATGGGGAGTAGTGGGAGGGACTGGATGGGATACTGGGATGGGATGAATGGGATGATAGGGGTACTGAGAGGGGCTGGGTGGGATACTGGCAGGTATAGGAAGGGGGTGAGTGGCATACTGAAGGTGTAGCAGGAGGGGATGGATGGGATGCTGGGAGGACTAGGGGGGGCTGGGTGGGATACTGGGAGCACTAGGAAGAGATGGGTGGGATGCTGGGGGTACACTGGGAGGGACTGGGAGGATACTGGGACAAGATGAATGGGATACTGGGGATGATGGGAGGGGCTGGGTAGGATACTGGGGATTATTAGGAAGGGCTGGCTGGGATACCAAGGCAATGCTGGGAAGAGTCAGTTGGGATACTGGGGAGATTCTGGGAAGGGGTTTCTGGCTGTGGCACTGGAGATTATTGGGAAGGGTGAGGTGGAATACTGAGGGGATACTGGGGAAGGGTGGGCTGGGATGGGATATAGAAGGATTTGCGTGGGCCTGGTGGGCACAGGGGGGTGAACGGGGTGGGGAACAAGGGGAGTGAGGTGGGTGGGGAGGGACAGGAACCTCAGGGAGGGTGTCTTGAGGACAGGGCTCTGAGGGATGGTGATCCAATGGGACAGGGATGCTTTGAGACTAGGAATTTGGGAATGGGGATTACAGGGACAGGGAACTCGGGGATAGTGAACATCGGATGTGAGGACTGTTTGAGACACAGAGCCTCGGGGACAGGGACCTCAGAGCTGGGGATCTCTGAGGGCAGGGGTGCTTTGGGACAGGACCCCTTGGGGACAACAATCCATGGGGACAGGGATGCTTTGAGGTGAGGATCCTTGGGGCAAGGAACTTGGGAATGGGGATTTCAGGACAGCAATCCTTGGCAACAGGGGATCAAGGCTGCTCAAGACAGAGACCCTTGGGGACAGGGACCTTTGGGGACAAGGATTCTCAGGGAGAGGGCACAAATGCTGTTTGAGGTACAGACCCTCGAGGACAGGAGATGTGGGATCTTTGAGATATGGGCCTTCGGGGACAGGGATCTTCAAGAACAAGGATACTTGGGGACAGGGGATGAGGGCTGTCTGAGATACAGACCTCTGGGGACAGGGACGCACGGGGACAAGGATCACTGGGGACAGCATGGAAAAAGGGCTGCTTGAGAGAGAGAGAGACCTGGGGCAGAGATCTTTGGGGACAAGGATCCTTGGGGGCAGGGGAACGAGTGCTGAGATACAGCCTCTCAGGGACAGGGACCTTTGGGGACAAGGATCTCTGGGGACAGAAGGCAACAAGGGCTGCTTGAGGCAGAGACCTTTGGGGACCTCTGGGACTTTCTGGGAAATAAACAAATTTTTGCTACTTTTTTTGTTTGGTTTTTCGGGTCTTTTTTTTTTTTTTTAGATTTTTATACTTTTGTGTGTGTGTGTGTTTTAAGTGCTTAAATAGTGGAACTGGAATTAGCCGCACAAGAAAAAAAAAATTCAAAAAAAAAATTCAAAAAAGGGCTGGGATGCGATTTCTGTTGGCTCCCTTCGGTTCAGCCTGATGAGGTGTGTCAGAGTTCTGCTTGAGATACAGAGCCTCGGGGACAGGCTCCTACTGGGACGAGGATCCTCAGGGACAGCAGGGGACGACGGCTGCTTGAGACGGACAGAACCCCTCGGGGTGAGGGGCTGAGTGCTGTCACAGACCCTGAGGACGCGGACCTGCGCTAAGGAACGTCGGCGCTCAGCCGCAGCGCTGCGCTCGGGTCGGGGTCGCACCGCGCTTCGCGCTTCGCACTCCCGTGTCCCTCGCGGCGCTCCGTCGGGCGGGTCACGTGGGCTCACCTGGCCCAGGTGGGGCGGGGCCGGCGCCGCTCCCAGCTCGCAGGTAACGCCGGGACCCCGCGCGTCCCCCGCAGCGGCACCGGGAGGAGGGGAGCGGCCGCGGCTCCTGCCCTGCCCGCCCCGCTCTGCCCGCCCCGCGGTTTGTCCCCTTTCTCCCCGCTCCAGAGCCGGGCCCGACCCCCGCCCAGGCCCCGCAGCCGCATCCAGGCCTCCTCTTCCTCCTCCTCTTCCTCCTCCTCCGGTCCCATCGCGGGGTGCGGCGGATCCTCTGAGCGCTGGGAGCCCCAACCCCAACCCTCGTTGTCTGCGTGCCGTCCTACGGGCGGCGGGGCTGTGCTCCTCGCCGGCACCGTGCGGGGTGGGGGGCGTCGGTGGGGCGGGGGGCTCATCGTGCAGGCCGTGTGTGGTTGGGGGCTGCAGTTCCTCCTGTTGGTCTGAGCCGAGTTTGCACCTCCGTGTCGGTATTTTCCCCTGCACTGAGCTCCTGCTGCTAACGGGATGCTCTGATTTCCCCCCCCACTCCTCCGGCATGGGTGTGGGCGAACCCGCGGGGCCAAAACCCCCGTCTGGAGGATGCTCACCGCCTCGTTTTTTTGCTTTGTTGAAACCCTTTTTTAAAGGAATCTCCTTCTGCTGAACAATGATGATCTTAGACCCCGGCTAACTGACACAGCTCACGGCTCCCACGCTGCTCCTCCCAGGCAGATGGTGGAGTCCTCCGTGAGGATCGTCTCCGTTCAAACCAGGCGCCTGTGTGAGAAGAGGGAAAGCTGCCAGCTGCCCCGTGAGTATCAGCTCTGCTGTGCATTCAAGTTCTGTACGGCTGCGTTAAGCTGCTCTGTCAGCCCCTATGCCAAAGAAACCCATTGAGTCCATAGGCTGTGTGCTCAGCCTGGCGTGCTGCGGGCACAGAGGGGTGTGCTGTGACACGGAGGGGCTGAGTGCAGCATTTTGGGGCTGGAGGTGTTTGTGAGTGGGGATATCATCTCTGCAGTGGCAGCTGTGCAGGGCCTGGGTTGTCCTTTTCTGGACACCAAAGATGCTTTGAAAGGTCAGAATGTTGTGGGTCGTTACGTAAGGGATGGCTGCAGTCTGTGTGTTGGATCTCGGGGGAGAGCTGGGTATTAAGGGAAGCATCCCATTAAGCAGTGATTAGATCAGCTCAGATGGGTTTTGTTCGTTGGTAAATTCTGAGCTGAGTTCTGAAAACAGTGAAGCTGAGAACGGAGTAGGACTGCTGTTCTGAAGTGAAAGCAGTGGAACTCTCTGTTCACGCTCTGTCTGGAGAGCTCTGCCTGTTTGGCACTGGAATTGGGGCTTATATTTAATACATTGTCCAGGAATGTGCAAAGGAACTCCAGAAACATGTGCTGCTTACAAATTGTTATAAGCTAATGGAGCCAAAAGGTTCCTGGAAAGCAGCGATGCGACACAGCTGCCTGGGGAGTGTTTTCCCTGTGCTTCTTTCTAAGGGCAATAGTACTGTTTCTTTTTGTTTCCCTTTTTCTTTTATTAATTAAAAAAAAAAAGGCAGCGATCTAACAAGGGCAGATATCTGTGCTTGAGTTGCCCTATAGAAAGTACACAGCAGGGACAGTCCAAAAGCACTTAAGCTATGGCTGGGCTCTCACTGTTTATTAATTGACCTAATAAGTATTTAGGAGGATCTCTTGGGGGTCCTGGGTGAGAAGCTCAGAAACCAAGGACAACTTAGGGGCCCAGCACGGCCTGGAATAAAAGCAGCAGCAATGAAAGTAGAGTGACAGCCTTGACCCAGCATCCCTCACTATGGTGTGTGGTGGCAATGAGAGCAGCTTGCTTTAGGATTCCTGCAGCACAGCTCTGTGGAAGCTTTGCTCCCACGAGATGTGATTTGAGAGAGGATCTTCAATCCAGATGGAGAGGTTGGTTTTCTCAGCAAAGTCCAGGATGTGACACGGCCGTGACTGGCAAAATTCATCAGTGTTAGTAATGCCATCATTGCTAAATCCTCTAAATGTGAATGGTGGCAAATGATTTGGAGTATGAATTGACAGTTGCATAATTGATTACTTGTCATCTCCTCCTAGGCATAGTGTGTTTTGAAACGGGTGAGTGCTGTCAGGTAATCCCAGAGAATGCAAGGCAAAGGGGAAGCTGATGAAAAGAGGATGCTTTCCCTTTGGAGCCTGGCAACCAGCTCCACCTGCAGCTGCACTGCGCATTTATTGCTTGGAGGCAGCAGCTCTGCAGCCTGACTTCTGTAGCAGCACGAGGTGAACCTCTTCTGAAGGCCACGGGGATTTTGGTGCCTTAAAGGGGCCCTTCTATGACACCTCTTTCTTGGTTCAAGCATTGAGTGAAAGCAAGCGGTGTGGTTTGGTAGTTGGGGAATCCGAACTGCACAGCAGCCTCCCTCTGGGTGCAATGAATGTGCACAGCTTGAGTCCTAGTGCCAAGTGGTTCTGTAAGTACACTGAATTTGAGATGGAGCCTCACTGACTTTGGATGTTGGGTCCTTCTTGTGTTACTGGCAGCTTGCTAAGGTGGCAGATGCTTGGCTTGACTTGAAACCTCCTTGTCCTTCAGGTGCTTGAGCCATGCTGGGCCGAAAAGCAGGACCCCCCCACAACCTGAACAGCCACCGCCAGAAAAACCAGTCCTACCAGCAGGCTGTGCCCCCGAGGAGCCGACCATCCAAGGAAGCCGAGGTCGGGCTGGAGGTGTTGGGTGGTTTGACTCCTGAAATCAAACAGAGCCGCACCAGAGCCCAGCAGATGCGGGACAGGAAAGGTCGCAAAGCTGACCTCAAAGACTCTAATGGGAGAGAGGCAGAAACCATTACCTTCATCTCTGGTACGGCAGAGGCTCCTGCAAACCAGAGCTTCTGCTGTTCCTCTCTGTCTCATGCCTGGAAAACGTACAAAGCTGTTTTCTGTTGCATAGTGACCTGTGGGGGCTGCTTTCAGGACTGCAGTGTCTGTATCCCCTATCCAAGGCCTGCTGAGACCTCCACCGACGATGGGAAGAATGGAGATTATAATGGGCGACTGCCAAACAGCCCTGCCAACGTCTCTCCCACCGAGAAGAATGGGAACCAGATCAAAAAGTCCCACATGGGCAGCAGTTTCAGTTACCCAGATGTCAAACTGAAGGGCATTCCTGTCTATCAGAACAGGAGCCTGGGCCACCATCTGGAATCAGATTCGTGCTTCAAAGAGCTGCTGCCTGAGAAGCCCCTCAGGAACAGCATAGAAAAGCCACCGCTCCCCAGCAGCCACCGGAGTTCAGAGGAGTATTATTCCTTCCACGAGTCTGACCTGGATATCAGCGAGCTGAATGGCTCCATGTCCAGCAGGGAGATCGACGTCCTGATCTTCAAGAAGCTGACAGAGCTCTTCAGCGTCCACCAGATCGATGAGCTGGCCAAGTGCACATCAGACACTGTCTTCCTGGAGAAGACCAACAAGATCTCGGACCTGATCAATAGCATAACTCAGGACTACAACCTGGATGAGCAGGATGCTGAATGCAGGCTGGTCCGAGGCATCATCCGTATCAGCACTCGGAAAAGCAGGGTCCGGCCCCACATTTCTGTTCCAGCCAGCCAGAGCCATGAGGAAAAGTCCAGCAGAGGCAACGCACCAGATAGTGGGAATGAAACAATGCTGGAGTCCACGGTCATCAGCCAGGATGGTACGTGCAGGTTCCTTTGTGTTCTGCAGCTTCAGTACAACAGGGCTGTTTTATCAGGGCTGTGAGATGTGATGGAGTAGGGTTGAAAACTGATGGCTGTCTTCAGGGTGGGCTGCTTTTCCTGGGGTGTGTCAACGGGGGTCTTTATGTATTACCACAGAGTTCTGCTTGTCACCAGTCATTGCTTTTTTGATGGTATCTTTCACTGTCAGGGAAGTTTGCACTGAGCAATGGAAGGGTTCATTCTGTTGCTTCCTCTGCACCTCTATGCTAGGCAGAAAGACCGTGAGTCAAACTTAACTGGTATGACCAGACAAGCTGGCTTGTGCCAGAGGATGTCCAGTTACCAAGCTGGCTCTCTACCCCATGTTCTAGCACCGTTCTTGGCAATACCACCCTTAAACCACCAAGACAGAGTGCCTCGTTGGAGCTGAGACTTCCTACAGGAAGGGTGAGGAGAAGCCAGCAAATAGCCCTGCAAAGAGGGGGGAAGGGCTTTTGCCACAGTGTAGGTGTGCACACTTATTTCAAGGACACTGTCGTCTGGAGCAGCCTGAATTGAGTGACCTCTAAAATAAGCAGGAGGAGTGTTGTAGAAAGACCTGGAAAAGCTGAGTGTGGGATCAGGAGACATCCAGAAGCCACAGAGGAAACTGGGTGGCTGTCACGCTTTCCAGCTCAGCAGTGAGGTTGCTGTTGCTTCCTGGTATTTATAGCTCACATTACTAGGACAATGGTGGAAGCAATCTGAAGAATAAGACGCTACCTCTGCTGCTACCTGAGGGTGGTGCCTTCTGAAGGAGAGCCTCATACATTCCCTGACAGGTGTCTTTACTCTTGAGTCATAGCTGCCCGTCCTTTCCTGTCTTCTTCCTGACCTTCTTGGTTTTTATTGCAGATTTGGCCGTGCAAATATCAGAGGAAACACCAGCAGATGTGCTGGCCAGGAATATGAGGCGGCACAGCAGTGCAGGTAACGTGCCTGGCCAGAGGTCTTTGCAGTGGGGGCACTGCAGGAAGGGGAGGTTTGGCAGGAGTGAGCAGAGCACCCTGAGCTCCTCACACTGTGTGTGGCTTCAGTTTTCACCCTTTGCTGAGGTGACAGCTGCCTCTTAGGGTGTTTCCTTCTCTCAGGAGTGAAAGGGGCTCAGAAGGCTGCGAGCTGCCCAGGTTTGGTGGGTCCTTCTGAAAGAGAAGGGAACCCACGTGTAGAGCTCTGTCTGTGCTCAGTGTTTGCCCCAGGAGCTTCCAGTCTCCAGGTATCTTGACAAAGTCTGGGGCTCTGCCTGGGACGTGACCAGCTAAGGTTGGATCACATGGGAACTGTGCAAAGGGAAGCAGAGGAGCTCAGTCCCCTGAGCTCTGATCCTCGTGGCATGCATGCTACACTCCAAAGAGCTGCCCAGGGCTAAAAGACAAGTTTTCTCCTGCATAATAACAGATCTCTCCTAGAAGATGGCCACAATGCAGGCAGGGTTGTTCCCTGCCTGTGGGCTTTGTGTGGCTTTCTCCTCCCTCATGATACACAATGCCTTTTGTGGCAGCTGCTTGCCCAACTGCCTGGCACTTGGCTGCTATAGTTCATCATGTCTAATGTCACCATCTCTTCTTTTTCCTCTCCAAGGCTCTCCAACAAGCAGAGATTCCTCTTTCCAAGACACAGAGACTGACTCATCTGGAGCACCTCTGCTTCAGGTGTATTGTTAAGAAAAGGGACCCAAACAGCAGGCAGGCATTGCAAGGCTTTGCTGCAGATTTCTCCTCTTTCCATATGGATCATATTATGTCACTTTTTCCCCCCAGTCTACCCACATCCTTTGTTGAAGCCAAAGTTCTCCTACTGTCTGAGTTTCACTGGGAATTTTTTTTTTTCTTTGGACAATATAGAACATTAAGGAAGTGAACTGTGGAGCTAATGCACTTGGGAGGTGGAATGTGTGCCCAGGGAGGAGAAGATGGACAAGGAAGTGCTCGATGATTTTATTTCCAATCTTCACATTTGGTTCCAGCAATCTCAGTGACCCAGCTCCTTCCCTGCTTTGAGAATGTGCTGTACATTTCTTGCTTGCTGGCATTGCAGAAGTTAACCTGGGGATAATCAGATGGTGTCTGCATTAGTGACAGTGCTGAGGCAAAGGCCAGGCACCTGCTCTCTAAGGACCCAGATCTCTGTGTAAAGAGCCTGGGTTGGTGGTCAGAGAAATACAAGTCCTCTATCTGTGGCGTTGCAGATCTGCCTTCTTCCTGCTGCCCTGAGTGTTGTTTCCCATTGCCTTTTAAGGAGAAGGTTCAGCTAATGTGGTTTGTTTCAACTTTGGCCTCTTGGCCCCTCTTCCAAGATAGTGCCAGCTGCAGGGAGGCGATACTTGAACTGCTGCCCTCCTCATCCTCCCCAGCCACTGCCAGTCTGATCTGAGCTGCACGCATTGACCTCTGGCTTGCATGCCAGCCTGCTCTCCTCACTCACCACCAAGCCCTGTGCATTTCCCCATCGTGCTAGTTGTCAGGCTGGCTGCTGGGGCAGCCCTGGAACGTGGGTTATATGAGGTATGTGAGACGATCCCTTCATTTCTAGTTTTATTTCTAATGAAGAGTTGGACTGTTTGACTACTCTGCCAGAAAATCCCATCAAAGTGTCTTAACTTGAATGAAAGCCTCCCTCAGAGAGCATCTCCAGAGGACCTGGGAGAAGCTGCTTGATCCTATATACTCCTGTGAGTGCTCAGCACCTTCTCTTTCCTTTGCTCTTCTTTCACAGCCACATACAGCTGTGGCACTGCTACCCCCAGGGCACAGAGCCAGATGACCTTGAGGGCTACAGTAGGAGGAAGCTGTATCTTGCTGGTGTTGCCACTTGATTTTTTTATCAGAAGGTAAACACGCGAGGCCATGGGACTTGTTTATACTTCAGGTGCCCTTGGACATGACTAGAAAATGTTGGGTTGGATTTCCCATCAACGGAATCAACACACCCACTGGTTTCTGGGGAGGGGGAAACCAAAGTAGGTCCCATGCTTTGGTGTGGACTGTGTTTGTGTGCCTTAATTGAACTGAAATGCGCCTTAATTGAACTGAAATGTGCCTTAATTGAACTGAAACGTGCCTTGAGTTCATAGCCTGTGATTACTCTCCCAAAGGTTGGGTAGGGGGAAGAGGATTAAATTCTTTACGTAAGCAGTCAAACTTATTTAAGTGGCCAAAGCCCTTTGAAATGTGCAGTCCAAGTCCCTGTCAGAGCCTGTTTTTGTAAACTGCTCACATTTCCCAGTGTGATTTCATGAATCATGGACATCACTGAGACCACACCTTGAGACACTGACTGAGATATTGGCAATAAAGGGGTCTGAGACACTGGTTTGGCGTGCCCTCCTGGTGTTGTCATCGGTGCTGGCTGTGAAAAATCCTCTCCATGCAAGGAAGAGACGTGAAGCAAGGACAGCACGGGGCTCGGAGGGGCTGTGTTTGGTGACCTCCTTCAGAATGCCACATGGACCCACTCTGCTTCCTGCTCCTGAGTGGATTTGCCCATACCTCTGGGATGAGTTTCCATACACCTGTACAGCACTGTGGCTCATGCAGCCCTGTGTGCTTTGCAGTGGAGATGAGGGGTGAGAATGAACTTGCAAAGAGCTGCCAGCTGCTACTACAGGTGCAATGGCACTTCTTTATGCTCAGTCTGTATATTGTGAGCAAATGTGTTTTGCAAGCTTGATCCATACACACCCAAAAAGCAAAGTCATCAGGCAGAATACTGTCCAGTTGTTGGACCCTGCAGCTGGTGCACCTGTGGTGTCTTATGGGATTCATTTCCCTTCCTCACCCTTAACATCTGATTCAGTCTATTTTTTTTTTTTTTTAATATAAAGCAGGAGATGTGCTCTTTATCTGTGCTGTCTTTTGTGTTCTTGCTTCCATTGCTTATGAGGGAGCCTGGGCTGAGAAGGAAGGCTGTTCTGCCTTCCCAGCAGTGTGTGCACAGCGGTGGTTCTGTGTGTGGGGGGGCTGTTCTGAGGGCTGAATGCAGGGCTGGTGTGTAGGGCACAGGGAAGGGGGGTGCAGGTGGAGGACCCTCTGTGGAAACACAGGCTTTCCCTAGGGGCTGATGCTGGAACTGAGCTCTGGGAAAACTCAGCCTGGGGGGAGAATTTCCAAGGTTGTGAATGCTTCTTGCTAGAAGGTGCCACGAGTGCCAGCTGTGTTTTGTTACACGAGGATTGCAGTTCAACCTGACCACCCTTGGTCAGCAGGCAGTGTCTGGTGCAAGAGATGTGTTTCTTGGAATGGCTTTAAGCCCACGAATGGGTATATGCTGCCTTCTCTCGGCTGGAAACTGTCTGCCAGAATGGAGCTGCTGTGCCTGCAGTGCTCAGAGTGGCCCATTGCTGCCCCAAGGGCAATGCAGCCAAGGCTGCCTGCAGCTCTGTGCTGGGATGTGGCTGTGTCACTGCTGTCCCTGCCATCCCCACCTGCTCCTGAGCTGCCCTGCTAGTTCCTCCTGCAAGCCCAGGCCACGTTTCTTTGCCCTCCGAATGCCCTTTCTGTAAGTTCCTGCAGCACTCTTCCTGGAAGAGATCAGTCTTCCTCCTACGTGAATCTGGGCAGGGGATGGCACAGGGTGTCTGCTCGTGATGTACATCCCAGCTCCTGCTTCCCCTGAGGATCCAGGGAGGACACTGTGGTTCTGTCTGCTGGATGCACCAATGCACAACACAGGATCTCATCCCCAAACCAGCAGCGTTGTTCCAGACCGGTGTTGTGAGACCACTGCCATTTCTGTAAAGATTTTATAACTTTGCATACAAAACGATGTACACACAGCTTCTGCATCCCTGCTGTAAGCTCTGTGCTCAGTAACCTGCTTCGAGTTTGCTGCATCGATCTGGGTTTGCTCACAGCTGCACAGGGAACCGTCCTGCTGCTATTTTCTGTCTGCTGAAGGTCATGTTTGCCATTGACCAAACTCTCTGAGTTGTTAATGTAATGGTTGTTTTTTTGATTTTTTTTGCTCCAAGCAAAAAAACACTGAGTGACCTGACATGGTGGCTATGACAGCCTTTCACCCCAATGAAGGTGCATGGGCACTTCCTTCTGGGAGTGTGACTCAGCACCGCCGTTCTCCTGAAGGCTGTGATGTTGTTGGGCTCAGCTGTGCAAGGAAGGTCCACGGGCACTGCTGTGTGCATGTCCTGGTGCTGCAGGAAGCTGTGCCCCCCCCTGTACAGCAGGGGTGGGATTTCAGCACAGCTTACAGGTTGGAAAGCAGACGATCTTCAGCCCAACTTTACAGCCTGGTCCTTCGTGGCGGAGGAGTGGTGGCTTTCCTTCAAAGCAAGCGGTGATGAGACAGATCTGCTGCCTCTTTCCTTCCTTGTGGTCCCCAAAGCAGCCTGGGTCTGTTCCTGAGCAGCAGTCATTATTAAAAAGAGCTACAGCAAGAGCTGCTGTTGGGAAAAAGAAAGACCGGGAGACACTTTTGGCACAGGAAAGCCTATGTGGGTTTAGCATTTTGCTTTTAAAAGGCAGGAGGAGGAGACTTTGGATCTTTTTTGGGACTGGGACCACCCTGCTGTGTCCCACAGCATTGCTGGAGCAGTCCCACCACGTCAGACCTTCTGCCCCACTCCAAGCCATGGGTGAAGGGTGCAAGCTGTGCCCCCCCATCCTGGCTGTTGCTTCTTGGAGGCTTTCCCTAAAGCAGAGCAGGGCCTCAGCTGCAGCTCCGGTGGGTGGCAGCACTGACACAGCTTCTGCAGGTGTGACACGGGTGTGATATGCCAGGGGACCTCCGGTGGCCGCCAGCCCCAAACACACCTCCTCCAGGAGGTGAGCATTTGCTGGGAATGAGGAGAAAGAAATATTTGTTGGGTTTGGTCCCTGATGTCCTCTGTCACAGTTACTTTCCTGCATAGGTCACAGCTGGGAGCTGCAGTCCGGACTAACTGCTCACACTGAGGTTTTGTGCTCTTTAAGCCACTTCTGCTGCCAGACCAGAGCCGTCCTGCCCAGTTGGCTCCAAAGGAAAACACTTTCGGGAGCCAAAGGGTGTTGGGTTCAGCTCAGCCCGTGTGGCTGCTGGGTGCCATGCAGGGGACAAGGCCAGCAGGAGAAACACCTTCTGTTCCGCTGGCCGCAGGGGTTGAAGTCCAGGGGCAGTTCACAAACAGTGCAGGGCATTCACCTGCCAGCAGTTCAGAGCAGAGCTGGGGCTGCTTCTCCCAGGGCCGTTTGCATTTCCTTTCTGTGTCCAAAAGAAAGGCAAATGGCATTGTTTCCCTCTCTCCCCACTCCCCAGGCCCCAAATTCCCCCACAGCTTATTCTGGGGTTGCTGCTACCTACTGTTCTTGGTGCTGTTTGCTCTTAGCTGCTCCCCTGCTTGCCTCCTTGCCCTGACACTGAGCAGCATCAGCCCCAGCTGGAGCACTTAGGAGTTCCCCAGCTGTGGTTATACCAGCCCCTGCTTCAGGCTCACACCAGCAGAGACCCTGCAAGAGCTGAGGGCAGAGATGCTGGGTTTGGTAACAAAACAGAGCCCCACGTGGTGACAGCAACCCATCAGGGTGCATTTAGGGTGCCAGGCTAGCGGGGTGAGGAGGTGTTGGGGAAGTAAGGAGGGTTGGGCTCAGTGGTGGTTATGAGCAGTCCCCAGGGCCTGCCTGTGCTTGCTCTGCAGGAGGGGCCGGCTGCAGGTAGTGAGCCCAGCCCCACCTGCTCACCCTCAGCTCTGGGAACAGCCTCACTGCTTTGCTGTGAAACAGGGAGAACTCACTGCACCCCCAGAACAGCAGCTCAGCTCCCAAGCTCACCCACCCCCCCTTGTATTTCAGAGCAGGGTAGGCTCACGGTACAGTGACACAATGCCCTCTGCTGTGTTCCACTGCCACCAAAAGGAAAGGAGCACAGGGTTGGCTGCAGAGCAGCCTAGAAGGACCCAGAGCAGAGCAGACACATCCCAACAGGTGGCGACGAGGGCAGGCTGGAGGCAGCTGCCTCAGGTCCTCACTTTCCCACAAGGTCATTGCTGAACTGGGTGGGTGCTGCTTTTTGAACTTGAGGGCCTATAAAACTGGGAGAATGAATGCACGCACTGTCCTGTTATTCAAAAAAAAAAATAAAACCTGGTAAGCCAGGTGCAAGGCCAGGCTGGACTTTGCCCAAGCAGGATTTTCTGCTGTTTGTGCCCACTCCCTCTGGCAGGAGGCAGAAATACTTTGTAGTGGCAGAGACAAGAACGCCAGAAGCAGGATTTTGGGGTAGCCTCTAAAGGGCAGGCAGGAACAGTGGCTTTTGTCATGCTTTCCTCCTATGCTTGTCATAAAGCAGACCTGGGGCAAGGGTGGCTTTCTCAGTGCAGTCACGCGCTGCTACGTAGAGAATGGGGAGCCTGAAGCAATGAGCCTTGGTCAGCACTCCTGAGCAAGACACAGCTCCAGCCGTCTCTCTTGAGCTGGGGAGCAAAAGTTAGGAGTGAGGAGCCTGAGAGGACCCAAGAAGCACCCAGCAGGCAGCCACCTCTCTCTGGGCAACTTTGTGCCCCCTCCCAGCTCATATCCAAACCACACAGCCCCTCCACAACCCTTCTGCAGGAGGAACCACACGCTCTACCCACAAATTTGACACTTTTTTCCTTTATGTTGCACTGCAGTTTTAACGAAGATATGAACCATGCAGAGTAATGCCGCTTGTCAGCAGGAGCTCAGAAGAGAACGCAGCAATGCCTGTCAGCAAGCGGCAGGGAGAGGCTCTTGGAAGAGAGGCAGGTGAACTCTCAGTAAGAACATTATCCCAAAGACCCCCCACACCCTCCCCTTGCCCACAAACACAGACCCCTAGCCTTCCCTTGCCCTAGAGCAGCACATCACCCTCTCCAGCTGGAATGGGAGCCCTTCCTTGAGCTGTATGGGGTCAAGTTCTTCTGGCAATAGAAGCAGCAGCAAGGATGGAAGGCACCTGAGTGCAGCTCAGCCACTAAACCCTCTGTTCAGATGTGATTGAACCTAGAGTCTATTACAGGTGAGAAGAAAGGAACCAGTTTTTGGGCAGCAGCACAATGCTATCTGCTACCTTGAATTGATGGGTTAGAGCAATAAGGAGGAGCATTCTTTCTCTACTGCAAAGACTTTTTTTAAAAAAAAAAACCTGCTGTTTTCCCTGCTCAGGAAAGCAGAAACGTAATTATTTCCTAAAATGAACTGCCTCTTGTTTTCACAGAAGAGCAGGAATGCCAGAGCAAGGGGGGAGTAAAAACTCAGGAGCACCTGCAGCCAGAACTGAAATGGCAAAGCAGAGGTGAACAGCTCCAAAGAGCCAGGAGATTAAGCTAAGCAATACATTAAGGATATGTCCTAAAATCTCTCAAGTCTGGCTCTTGAAACCTCAATGCCCTTTTTGCCCTAGCCCCTCCTTCTCTCCTAACTGCTGCTTGGGAATTGCCACAGATGGCTCTGACTGGAACTGCTGCAGACTGGTTCTGTGGTCTTACATTCTGTTCAACACAGGACAACTGAGGACGACTTCATGGAGCTGCCTCCACAGCAAGCTCAGCTGGGGATGCTGCAAGTGCTTACTTGCCCAAGGTAAGGGATCCCTACTTATCCAGCAATACATTTCCTGTCCCATTCAATGGGCTGCCTGAAAGAGCAGGGAGAAGGATTGGAATCAGTTGAATTTAGCCTTTGAAAAGTCCATTTCTGGATGCTGTTCCATGAACCTGCAACGAACACAAAGACAACAGCTAGGTTATAAGTCAGCAGAAGCCAAAGAAAGCTCTCCCCAGGGACACACAGCGAGTACCTGAGAGGCTCAGCACTCCCTCGACTCCATTTTAACTCATTCATTCAGCCTCTTCACCTTCCACTTTTCAGGTGCAAGGCAGCCCTCTCCCAAGGGGTGAGGCATCCCTACTTCCTGCACTATCAAGTTCACTTCCTCTCCACATCCTCCACAGCAGGGATTGTTTTACTGAGCTCCCCAGGTCACGCTCTCCAAACTACAAATGGTTTTTCCTCAGGTCAGTAGTATCAGCAATCCTACCAGCCATCAAGGTCAGCAAGCCCACACACATGGCAGTTTTTTTTTTTTATCAGCTACACACCCTTAACTGCTACCTCTCGGACAGACACGTAGCAGCTGTGACAGATTGTGGGGCAGAGGGGAGATTATAAAGCTAGATTAGGATTTAAGCTTGAATGTGTTACCTTATGCGTTACTGGAGACATGGGGAATATCTCCTGTGCAACCTGAGACTAAGCACAACCTGATTTCAAATGTACTGCAGTCTCAGCAGATACGACTATTTGGACACAGATTGCCACATCAGAAAGTTCTGAGAACTGAACTGTGCCTACAGGAGATCAGGAGTAGGGTATTAGGGCACGGAGATGTCCCTGCATTTCTCCTCTGCCCTGCACTTCACCATGGGATACAACACAACCATGTGGGGGGGGGTGTATGTATGAGGTGGAAGGCCAGGGCAGGCATTTCCACTTTCCATCTCCATGGAAATATGCACTGTGAGAGCAGCATCTTTGTTGAGCAGCCAGGAGGAACTCTCCAGCAGAGATCAGAACCCAAAGTCATTCAGCCCACTCTGGTATGAACAAAGTCTAATCTTCCTATCCATTCTTACCAGCCAATCTGCACATGGGCCAAGCTTGCAGAGCACTGAACCAGTGGTCTCACTGAGGTATCCTGTATGTGCACCTTCCAGCAGGCAAGGACTACCTGCCATTCCACAACTCCTTCAGATACTGAGGAAGTCTGGTCTTTAAAAGTTACACCCTACTCTAAACTCAGCGCACCGCTCAGAGCAAAGCTTCTTCCAGAACAGATAAGCTGAGGAAGGAAAGGAGCCAGGTGCAGAAGGAAGGCCTGCTACACCAATCCTCCCTCCAACCCTGAGAGATGCGGGTTTGCACTTTCCAAGGAAGATGTCTGACTCAGAACTGTCTCCACACCTCCCTGCCTGGCCTTGGGGGCTCCATGAGTAATTTCCCTGCCAAGGTGCGTTTGTGCCAAACAAGGCAATAAAGGCATAAAAGGACTATTGGCTTGGAGACAGCTGTCTGGTGACAGGTGTGTAACGGAGATTATCTGGGCTACTGAGTAGAGGGAGATTAGAAAACAATCAAGACCATGTTAAAGTTCACTAGAGTCAGTACTTCCATGCTCAAACATGCTTTCTGGACTTGAAATCAGAAGATTAAGACAATGCCAGAGCTGGACTATTCCCAGAATTTCCCATTATGTTATCTACCTCCATTGGCTTTTATAGATGCTGGTGGTTAGCCAACAATTCAGTGACTTTGTAACTGTAGATTTGAACTCAGGTAGAACTGAAGGGCAACCTGTTCCTCGCTCAGTAACACCGCTACATATTGGTGTGAAGGAAGAGGAGGAGAGGGGTATGGGAAAGCAAGCACCCACAAATCAATTGGCTATACCCACTTTTTCAAAATGTCTTGCTTCTTCTGTTCATCAGATGTGGGGAGGCCCATGGATTTCTGTCGCTGATCATACATCATTTTCTCCACCATACTGCGAGTCTCACTGTCCAGGTCTGACAACTGAAACCAAGGAATTCCATCAGAATTGAACTCCCTTTGCTCAACACACACACAAGCACACACTCCTTGCACAGAACACAGATATTTTGATGTACACAGCACTGTGTGCACAAACTAGAGAAATACTAGACACTCTAACTTATCTCAGCTTTGTTTAGTTGAAGTTTTGGGAGCACTTATAGTATCACATGCAGCAGTGCTGCCAGTGTTGTTTTTTTTTTCTGCTGGTAGAACAAAGTTACAGAAGCTGAATGTGAATTTGTTTATGAGAAGGCTACATTCATTCAAACAGAGGGAGTTCTTACCTTTGAGTTTTCTGGATTGATTTTCTTGGTGTTGATCTCAGGGTCTGTGGTGACTAATTTGTTCCACCATTCCATCTTGTTGATCTGAGGGAATGAAGAAGCAAAAATTATTTCTTTTTCCTGGACTTGCTCTTAGCATGCTATGTCTGGAATCAAACTTTATTTGACAGTTCTCTAAGCGTCAGTAAAATCTGAACCTGGATAAAGGGCATTACTTTCATTTCTAATCACTTCAGCTATCTAGAATTTCCACAACTGACAAATCCAAGAGCATATTAGATGTCATGGTTGGCACAACAAAATAGGATTGCAATAAAAAATTGCCTGTAGAGACCAAGAGGGGACATGAAAATCCAAGGACAGACCTTATTGCTGCTCGTGTCACTAACAGATGTGAAAGAATAGCATGAATGCACTAAGGAGCAACTTCAAAATACTGATTTCCCTCAGATTCTCCTGAATTGCTGAGAAATTAACTGGAGATCCCAGATTATAGAATCCATCATCCAGAATCCATCATAAAATCCTTAGGATTGGAAGGGATCCTTAAAGGCCACCTGGTCTAACTCCCCTGCAGTGAGCAGGGACACTCACAGCTCCATCAGTGCTCAGAGCCCTTCCAGCCTGACCTTGAGTGTCTGCAGAGATGAAGCACAACCACCTCACTCTGCCACTGCCTCACCCCCCTGCGGACAGGCTGCAAACAGGACCAAGTGGCAATACCCTGGCTTCCAACAGCATCTCTGACATTGGACCAAGGACAAGCACTTCTGTTCCAGCTTATAAAGCCCTGTGCTTTCATGAGTTTGGTGACTGATTTCACCAGGGAAGAGGCAGACAAGTCCCAGCCCTCCCCAGTTAATGCTGCTTTACCTTCTCCAGGTGCACGGTGACTGTTTTACCATCTTCAATCAGCCAGGAACTCTCCTCCACCTTCACTTCATTGAAAAGCTCTCCATCAATAACAGGAGGATGGCCTTTCAGGCCAACTCTGAGGCGTCGTCTCTGGATATCCACCACCACATCCTTCCCCTTCAGCCGGAAGGTCACCTTGAAAGGGATGGCCAGCTGGAACAGACAAAGGTCAGATGTGAGGAGCTGAGCAATTAAGTCTCTCCTTGCCCTCTTGTGCTGCTGTTGTAAGACTCTTTGCCTTTTGCCAGAGTAAGATACGATAATTCTTGTTGGTCGAGCAAGAGGTGAAAGGATACAAGTGTAAATTCAGCAACAGGGTGGCTAATGTATCTTTAAGGAAGGGAAGCAGATTTTCATGTTCTGTTCTAACTTTGTTTGCCAAAGCTTGGCAAAGTTAACTACAGCTTCTGGGAATTTAATTTAGTTACCAGGCTGTCCCCCAGCTACTGAAATGTTGTCATTAAGTAAAATTAACAACCACTATTCTTACCAACACCTACTTTTATTTTGTGGCTAAGATCCCTCAGACCCTTTATATAAGGCAGTACTTACATCCAGCTCTGAAAGAGTCTGTGTCCACCTGTAATTTGGGAGGTCAGCTCCATTGCCAGTGTTGGGTTTAAGTTTTCCTTTATCGTTCTCATCTTTATCTTCTTCATCTGTTTCCTAACCAACCAATGTAAAGTGAAAGGAAGTTTTTCAGGTCTCTGTATACCCTTCACAATTCCAGATTTTTATGAGTTTCAGGTCAGTCAAACATATCTGATATTTGCATATATGTTTAACCCAAAATGAAAAGGTGTTTTTGTTAAAATAAAATCACAAGCAGAAAAAAAATAAGGCATTGCAAGGAATTAAGCATTGTTATGACCAGGGCACAGCACAGAAGAGAAAATAGGCTTCAGTCCATATTCTCAAAGAAAGGCAGGCAGGACATCCCCTAATCTTCACAAGAGTTCTCATGGTTATCCAGGAATATATTTCTCT